GCAAAGTAAAAAGAGCTAGCTTGTAGATGTCATCTTCCTCTGTGCACCTCAGAAATGCTTCTTTTAAAGCATTACATGTAATTCCTTCGTCTATAAAATATCTTTTCTAAAGTCTAATTTCATCACTTTCTCCACAGGAAACTTCAGGCACTTCCCCAAAACAAAGCCCTGTGATCAAACAGAAATCCTGACGAGTGAACTGAGCAACATCGCACCCTATTAAGAAACTCAGTCTATCCAAGTCTTTCACACCCTGCCCTGCTATTCTATGCAACACAACCCCATGCACAATCTGCCCGCTAAACTGAATCTTATCTATATTCAGAAGATGGCCAAAACATGATGTCTTAAATTGTTCTAATTGTTCAGCACTCAACTTCGCTCGAATTGCAGCTAGGGATGAATTTGCATGTGAGCAGTTGTTCACCCGTGACGAATATGCCTCTGACTCTGGCCATTCCAGCTCCACATTGGATTCCATTTCCTGAAATACAAGATGAAATAACGTGAACACATATACTACCACGTATTTGCACAATCACATTGGTATTTACACAACTAGTCAACCAGGCACATTACAAATTTTACAAAGTACATGCGCATAGGGATTACTGATCACAAGCTTTAACATCATCAAAGCAATATGACAAATTTTGTACAAATACCTGCTAATGCAATGATTCTGTGAATTACAAGCAATTTCATATGTTTTATTTATGGATCCAAACTCCAATCAATGGTTGATGCATGAGTGAGTGTGAGTGCAATCTAGGCAAGTTCTGCAATACAAAATATTGTCATCTCACATGACAATAATTGTCATCTCATACACAACACAAAATAAATAAATAAATAAGAAATATGGTGGAATGAAGCAAAGGAAAGCATTTGCTCTGCTATCTGCTTGCTAAGCCATTGCCACAATTATTATTAACATGTTATTGATATGTTATTGACATGTTATTGATATGTTATTGACATGTTATTGAATTGATTTTCATTCGTTTTTTAACATATACCCAAGTAAAAATTAACATGCAAGTGAAGCACAAAGAAGAGATGTCAAATCCAACAACATTGATGGTACAAATTGGGGAAAACCGTTACTCTAACTCTAAACTCAAATTCCATAAATTACTCATCAAATGCTTTGCACTTATATTCATGAGTTTATTATTATATGTTCTCATTTTTCTCAGGCAAATTTAGTAACAAAGAAAATAATATTTATTTCAATATATATATATATATATTCTAGCGCCAGAGAGATAATCTGCACTATGCACTGCTTCAAATGTGGAAGGTTTTGATTTGAGGGCCTCCTCCAATTCAACACCATTATCTTATTCTTATCATTATTGACATGTTATTGATATGTTATTGACATATTATTGACTTGATTTTCATTCGTTTTCTAACATATACCCAAGCAAAAATTAACATGCAAGTGAAGCACAAAGAAGAGATGCCAAATCCAACAATATTGATGGTACAAATTGGGGAAAACCGTTACTCTAACCCTAAACTCAAATCCGAATAAATTACTCACCAAATGCTGGTTATTGAACAATCGCAAGGTGTTTGTGCGGGGTTTTTGTGCGGCTTTGCTCCACAACTGGAACCTATCACTTCCAACGAATACGGCTTCTCTCCTTTCCCTTCCACTGCTTCACCCCTTCACTGTTTCGGAATCCACACCTTTGCCCCTTTCACTCAAAATAAATACTTTTTCAGGATTTAGAGAACAGAGTGGCGTTCAACCGTTTCTCAGAGTTTAGCGGTTCCTCAGAGCTATGGGTTTTAGAGCGATGGGTTTTTTCTGTTCAAACTTCGAACTTGCCTCTTCTTCTTTTTTTGGGGACCTGCTGGATATTAAATTCGGGTTTGGGTTCCTCACCTACCCGATTGTAAAATTTTATCTCAATTCTCCCTAGCCCTTGGATTGATCTGATGACTATAAAGTGAACCTCTTATAACTTACCCCTCATTATATTCTGGGCGTACTTGGACGTACACTTTGGACTCTTGATGATGTCGGTAATTTCCTCCGAAATTTGGATTAACAATTTGGGGTTACTGGACTTCCATACATGTATTAATCCTACATGGGTATTGGTGTCTGTAATGGTCCTTTGGCTTGAATTATAAATACATTATCGTCTTTATCTCAACACAAAAAAACAAAAAAACAAAAACAAAACGGCTAAAGATATTTGGATGAGTCAACTTTACTATTGACATGTACTACAACAGGAACGTACACAGTACAGAGCAATGCTGTGAGATTTTAGGCCACAAGTTTTAAAGCAATTTGGAGATCGCACTATACCATTAAAATGACATCTATCTTCTGAAAGGACCAGCAAATTAATGGGTCTTATCTTGCCCCAAGTTTGAAGGAATGTGGAACTGTAATCTTTAATTTGAAAAGGATGGCAAATTAAGAAATGAAAGCTATGTCTTCGTAATATTCAAACGAAGAAATGTCCATCCTTTATGCTGAGAAAACTAGCATACTAGTTGCAAACTGATCAATTTGCACATAAGCTAGGATTAAATGAACACTGCCATAACTTGAATTGGATCCAGAACGAACTATACAACGAGATTAACAAGAGGTTCAACTAGTGATGAGAATACACACTTTGCCTTCAAGAAGCTAACCTCACTTGGATGACAAACTCATAAGCCAGGAAAGAAAGGGATAATTTCGAGATCATCAAAACAATTTGAAGAATTGAAGCTGCCGTTCAAAACAGGGTGCTGCCTGACCGTGAGTCTCCTTCGAACACTTTGCATAAAACACAGAAAACGAATGCAACATTCACTAAATGAAAATGATATCAAATGAGTACTTCATTTTCCATCTTCCAATAAGTGAAGCTTCCAGCATTCTGTATCCTGATTCCTGCACACATACAAAACCACTAGCTTCTTCCTCAGTATGTCACTTTTACTGCTCTAACAAATAGATATTTCTTGGTGCCTTATAGGAATAAGATCTGTTTGTGCATATACAGATACTTCAAAGATTCTTGGAGCGTTCTTCAGATGATCTGTAAATACGAAATGCAGCAAAACACATTGTAGCATTGCCGATAACTGTCAGGGCTGCTTGAAGAGCCACCAGGACCTGCAAATCATGGAGGAGCCCCAAAGTCACTGTAGATATTTGTCTCACAACTCAGTTCCGGTTGTAATTGAAGGGAAATATTCATAAGAATCTAGCAATTTGTTGCTGCAAGTGATGATCATGATCAATATTCTGTTTTGTGTTTCAACCATTTTATTTCCCTTACTCTTAAACAAATCTGCATGGAAGAGATACCACCCTTCTTACCTCAAGAGACTCAGAGTTATAAAAGAAATGCCATGTGCATGCACATAATGCTCCACCAAGCAGGGGAACCTACATCAATCAATTACATCAGTAAAAATTTAATCAAGGAGGCAAGCCATTTGAATAATTGTAAAACTACAAAGCAAGCTCTACATAAACTCCTCAACCTCCACTTCCCTGCAACGGACTTGGAAACCTAAATTTTCAACTTAAAACTACATCAGAAACTGACAAAAATTATATCAACCCCATCTTAAAAGCCATCTTCTTTAAGATTAGACCCTAATCGTTTTGAATTGTAAAGTCAGTTAAATGGATATGAACTGCCATTAGTAGTGCAGCTTAACAAACAAGTACCATTGTAAATGAAATCTACCATTAGTAGTAAAGTTTCTAATCAGCTCATAAAAAGACCATTATCAAGAAATATTTGAGATTTTTATCCTACTACTGGTAACTGTATAGTGTCAAACAGGGAGGATCAAATCAATAAAACTATCTAGAAGACTGGTATACCCACTATAGTTCAAATTCTAGATTGGTTGGTGGCTTATGATAAACCAATACTTGTGATATGCTCTGAAAGAAAAGGAGGCCCTATGCTCGTTTATCTCCTCACTAGTTTGTGGTGAAAAGCTGAGAGCGAGTCAACTGAGCATATATATACTTATGTTGGTGCAACAAATAGGCTTTTACTCTTTGGTACTCTGTAGTGCTGGCCTCTATTTGGATTGTGGGGTTGGAGACGAACAGAAGGATCTTCGACAACAGGGCAGATATAGTTTCTATTGGATTTCTACCCTCATTTAGCCAACAATACAACTAATGGGAAACAAATGGGAACAATCGCCTACCAACCATTTTACTAAAACTTAAAGTATTGTATACAACCTCTAAAAAGTACTTCAATGAAGTTAGAAGTGCTCCATCATTCAGAATAAATAATTTTAACAGAGGCAACATTGTTCTTTTGTTATGCATTTAGCCATGGATCATCCAAATAATCAAATCAAAATTACATTGCACCAAAATAAAATAACTCACCATACCCCAAGACAGCCCTTTCCAAGATTCAAAGCCAGACTTCTCCCCATACTGCCACACCAAAGCCATTGCTGTAATCCTTGCAACAGAAAACAGAATTTACAATTAACACAGCAAGCAACCATACTCAATATAATTGTATTCCTTTCCTTTACCTCTCTTTTTCTAGGCAACCAAACAGGTGGCCAACAAGAATTCAAAACGAAAACAAAAACAATGAAAGAGAGAGAAAATTCGCAAAACCCATTTACAGAAACACCAGAAAATGATCATACGAGAGAAAATGCTCACCATTCAACGACACTAGAAACGTGTATGGCCCAGGTGGGCAAAGAGAGGGCATTGGAGGGTTCACTGAGCTGGAAGGATCCCCACAACGGTAACTCAGCAGCTGAGGCGGGTCCAATAAGGGTCAGGGTCAGGGTCAGACCCGCTCCGAGAAAACCTAGGGTACCATTTTGACTGAGGGGCTTTGCGGGTCGGGTCTGAGCTTTTGGGTGTGTACGGAACGTTGGAGGGGAAAGGGCTTTGTGAGGAAAAGGGGGTTTCGGGAGGTACAGTAAGGAGTTCATTGCCATGGTCGTTGGGTTTTGTTTGAAAATTTTCACTGTAAAGCTTTCGAAGCAGGGAGTTGAAGATGAGGGTACAATAGAAATTTGCTTCAAGATTGAAGGTCTTTCTGGTAATTAGGCTTTGGATAAGGTGCCATAGGCTTTGCACATACCAACACCAAGGAGCTCAATATAAACTCTTCTGCCTAAAATTATCTACTTGTCACAGTAAAAATTAAATTAAAAAAAGCTAATAGAAAGGAATGTACATGAACATTCAAAATATTTCAATTATTTATTTATTTATATACAAGCGATATTGAAAGAAGAAATCAAAATGAGTAAAATACTCTTATCGCTTGAGCTACAGCTGCCTGCCTTAATTTATTTTGAGTGCTGCTAAACGAACCCTAAAATTAACCAAGTACACCCTACTACAAAAGTATATATTGAATTACTGATTTACCCTAATATAAAATGACCAAAAAAGATACATGGAATTGTGAAACAAATATAATTTTAATAAGTACACCCTACTACAAAAGTATATATTGAATTACTGATTTACCCTAATATAAAATGACCAAAAAAGATACATGGAATTGTGAAACAAATATAATTTTAATAAGTACACCCTACTACAAAAGTATATATTGAATTACTGATTTACCCTAATATAAAATGACCAAAAAAGATACATGGAATTGTGAAACAAATATAATTTTAATAAGTACACCCTACTACAAAAGTATATATTGAATTACTGATTTACCCTAATATAAAATGACCAAAAAAGATACATGGAATTGTGAAACAAATATAATTTTAATAAGTACACCCTACTACAAAAGTATATATTGAATTACTGATTTACCCTAATATAAAATGACCAAAAAAGATACATGGAATTGTGAAACAAATATAATTTTAATAAGTACACCCTACTACAAAAGTATATATTGAATTACTGATTTACCCTAATATAAAATGACCAAAAAAGATACATGGAATTGTGAAACAAATATAATTTTAATAAGTACACCCTACTACAAAAGTATATATTGAATTACTGATTTACCCTAATATAAAATGACCAAAAAAGATACATGGAATTGTGAAACAAATATAATTTTAATAAGTACACCCTACTAACCGTATTCAACCCTAAGGAGTTTCAAAGCCTCTGTTGTACTTTTGAAATTATGTAGATTTGCAAATTGGGTTACTTTTGAAGAGAGAGAAGAATAGAGGCATTACAATAGGTCCTGCATGTTTTATCTCAAGGCTAACTGTACTTTCTTGGTGCATCTTAGGCTGTTGTTCAATACATGACTGAGCTTGTCGTGAAAAGAGAAGTTAAAGCACAACCTGCTAAGCAGAAGAAGACTTGGGCTCAAATCTGCTTCTTCTCGCGGTCCAAAAGGAAGCGCAACGGTGGAGATTATGTGAAGGCCTGATTAATCATTGAATTCCTGACAAGAGACACGATAATTTCAATCGAGTAAGTTGTCAAAACAATATTATGGTGAATTGACTTATATACTGTAAAAATAGAATTTATGCATATTACTTTTGCCTAGTTCACTAACAACATGAATGAAAAACTCTTTGACCCTACTATGGTGGCACCATCTTCATCCCCCTTTTAGGACTTAGTTTTTCTGGCTTGTGAGCGTGTATGATTAAAAATATCTTAACTAGTACTACTAGGGCCAATTTGATGAAGTTTGCAGTGACTTTCTTTTGCCACTCATGCACCTTTCTTATTGTTTTTCTCTTATGTTCTTATAAGTGAAAAACAGGAAACTTGATCAATTTTAGTGAACCAAAAGTACACCTTAGAGCACTAGCTTTGGGGGAAAAAGTCTTGTTATTCGTGCACGTCCACCTCAATGTGGGGCTTAGAACAAGCCATTAGAAAACAGTTTTAGAAGGACACAAATGAATTGGCCTCTTATTAGTATATTGCAGAGATATTATTCCAATTTTATGTAGCATATATCAAAATAAAAGCGACATTAATAGGATCATCAGCAAAGATAATACTAACATGAATCATCTTTATGACTTATGCAGTCAATACATTGTTGTCTTGCACGCAGTTCTGTTGACAAAGCCTCTTCCAATTGTGTAGGAGGTTCAGGTACTGTGACATTCAGAGTTGTCCACTGTAAAGTAATGCTCTATTTGAATTTCTTATTTATTTGTTTATTTATGTATTTGGATTCCTATCATAAGGAGTTTCAAAGCCTCTTTTGTACTTTTGAAATTATGCAGATTTGCAAGTTGGGTTACGTTTGAAATTTTGGAATGGATGCTTCATACATTTCGAGGAAGTCATCAAAAGAGGTATTAACTAAGATTAATTTTTTTTTTTGGTTTAGGCTAAAGCATGTTTACAACATCCAGAAGATGTATCTAAGCAAGACACCGACATCAATAAACAATGTGTTTTAGACTACATAAACAAATTTATCACAAACGAGGTAAATTAATGAATATTTATATATTTTATTTTATAATTGCATATATTAATTTAATTATTAGTGATTTTACAGATATTTGTTAGTCGTGATGCATTAATAAGATGGACTCGTGAACAAGGAAAAAGGAATGGCTTTGTGATTATCATTAAAAAGTCAAAGATTTATAAACACTATTAAAAAAATCAAGCTGAAAATCAACTATAAAATAATGCTACAAGTATTAGGGTGTACTAGGGGTACTTTTGATAGTTATATATGGCGTACTTAGTTAATTTTACATTTTAATTAAAAATATTAGGGTGTACTTAGATCATAGGGTAAGGTGTACTCAGTTAATTTTAGGGTTCGTTTAGTAGCACTCTTTATTTGTTGTTTTGGGAATGTGGGTATTAATAATAAATTGACCCTTTGTGCAAAGTTTAGTGTAACAATAAAATATTTCTAATACTATTATTGTTGGACAAACTTTAGTACATAATTCCATACTACAATTTATTGTTTCTACAAAGGAAGACAAAAGATTAAAACATGGACTTCATTATAATGATGATCCATGTAGGTTATGTACTGCTTGCTCCTACTACGACTAGGATATCAATTTAATTAGGTTTTATTACTCAAGGAATGTGATTTCCCTTTGCCCCCTGCCAATTAAAACTCGTTGTTTCTTTAATTTTACAAGTTGTAACTAAACTAAAATTGAAAGCCAAGCATCGTACACTTGCAGGTTCTTGAAGTTTGTGGCTTGGACCAATCCGCAATGGAGGTGGTGACTTGTAAGTGAAGCAATTAGCAAGCTGCACCTAAGCTATGTGATTTTTTCGACCAAAAAAAAAGCTATGTGATTTTTGTAATTTTTTATGTTCAAGAAAATACGAGTATTGCCCTAAGAAAAACTTTACAAGAATGAATTTACAAAAACTTCACAAATTTATTGAGCATTCCTTGATTTCACGTTTTGATTACAAATGGACCCTAATATAGCCGCACGGCTATACTATTTATTAAAAAATAAAATAAAAAGGACCCCAGTCGGCCGCGCGGCTATACTCTGCAACCTACAAAGTCACTGTCTGTCAGCTGGTACCCGAAAAGTCCACCGACGTCGACTCCTGCAGCAGCCGACTCAAACACGTGGTCGCTTCTGAGTTGTCTGTGAGGCACTTGTATGAGATCGCCAAAGTGAAGCAAGCTGACCCGTAGTGCCAGTACATGCCCTTGGAGTCCATTTGTAAGTCCATTATTGGTACGGCTAATTCTATGGGGATTAAGATTGTTAAGGACTTGGATTGATTTGGGGGAAAAGGTCACATTTTGAAACCATCAACGTTGTTTTGAGAAAAAAGATTGGATTTTTGTTTGGTTTGAGAGGACACAAAACCTTTGCATCTTTGGAACTGAAGACATGCATGTCCCTCAACTAAAAAGCCAAAGGCAGCATGTGAAGGAATCTCCGCTGGCACAAAAACCAACCAAGCCATGCAACAGAACACCATCAGAAAAGCCATGCAACCAAGAGCCTTGTCCTTTTCTTACATGTGAACGTATTGTTTGTTTTCCGTAGGACCATGTGAAGTCATGTGAAGTGTAAACATGTATAGGAGAGTGTGTGCAGAGAAAATATATTTCTTCAGCAGAAAGAAGTAGAGTCGGTAGAAGATCTCTTCTCTAGTTTTTCTCATACTTAGCAGAAAAGAGTGAAGTCGGTGAACTCATGTATATAGCCTGCTGCTCCGCAGAAGAGAAGTACATCAGAGAAAAAAAAATTCAGTACTTCCTCCTACAGTTTCTGTTGACGCAGAAAAATGGTTCAGCACTTTCCCGCGCAACTTAGTGATTAAGTCTCTTCGGTATCTGATGTCCTCGGCAGGGTGTGCGATCTGTAAGATAGCAAACACACGGTAAGTCCTAGGGCACCGGTGTGGTACCGGCCGAAGGCTCTCCGATGCTTAAGTAAGTACGGATTTAGTAAGGTTGAACTGCAGATCAATAGGCAGTATGCCGTAAGTTCTGATTGATTACCTCTAAGCTGGGATGGTTGTCCTCTTTTATAGGCCTTGGGAGGTGTGCAATTTGTTTAGAGTTTGGATGTGGGACTCTGGGCGTCAGTTGTGAGACTGCCATGCGTCAAAGGGGGCGAGGTTGCCCTAATGTTGCGATCGGTGGGTTTGGTACCGAAGGTGGGTGCCGAAGGCACACATGGCCCTGGTTTAGCCCACGTGTTTGATATTCATTGGCTGTTCATTTTGGTATAAACAGCCCTCTAGCATTGGACCAATCAGATCTAATCCCCACTGGACGAACGGCCACGGGCTCACGATCGGTGACAGCGGCTCGGCAGGAATATGAGGGACACTACCGAACCGCTGGCACTTGTCACACCTCCTGACTAATCTGTTCGCGTCCTGGTGCAGAGTCGGCCAGAAATAGCCCTGTCGGAAGACCTTGTGTGAGAGCGATCGGGATCCAGAGTGGTCACCGCAGATATGCCGTCTGACCTCCCGAAGGATGTAGTCCCCCTGCTCCTTGGTCAGGCATTTTAGATACGGCGTCATGTAGCCTTGCTTGGATAGAACATCGTTGATGACTGTGTATCTTGCCGATCGGTAACGGAGTTTCCGAGCTTGGGACTTATCGGTGGGAAGGGTTCCGGT